TCTTGAGATGATCTTTCTTTGACTAGCCAAGGCCTTGATGTTCAGCTCTCTTTCTCAGGAAGCTTCTGCTTTCTTAGAAGTCCAGAGTGACTGACTGACATGGAAAATATTTCTGATTCGTCAATTCAAAAAGTCACCGCTGGCAGCAACTATTGCAGATAAGGCTTTTTTTTTTAAAAAACTGCAGGAAACAAGCAGTTTCTGCTGGCAAGGTCAACTGCACACACTTCTGTGTGTTGCTCTCTCTCCGTAACTTGTTTCTAGTTCCAACCCGGTCAGTTAGCTGAGAACCAAATCAGCTCCACTTCAAAACAATTCCTGGGCTCCCGACTATCTGCACATTGCAGGATCACATAGCTACAAAACTGGAGTTCAGAACAGCTATCAAATTTCTTGCTGTGAAATTATGCAGCCATCCTAGTAAAACACTTTTTTGAAAAAGCAGTTTGGTCCACTTTTTTTTTTAAAATACACAAAAATAAAAAGACAGTCCTTAAACCTGAAGTGTGTGATCTTGTTATCTGGTCCTTTCAGTTATTCATTCTAAGTTCAAATTAAGTGTCAAATGTCATCATTCCCTCGCAAGATCATAACAATAATTAGGTCTGTTTTATTAATATCAGCTGAGTGAGTAATGATGCACAAAAAGACTGGAAGAATGTCTTTCTTTTTTTGAATCATGCCAGGGAACCTACGCAAACAGAAAAGGGCAAATCAACCTTCCTCTCAATCCTAGTTATCAAATGAGTGGGTGGCGATAGACAGAAAATTCAGTAGAAATGGCATTTTGCTTGTACAAAGTTTCAAGTCTTGGATACCTCCCAATAACGATCCAAGACTGAAATACATGGTGATCAGCAACAGGTTTTCTAAGATTGATAATTTTGTGCTGCAATTTCGTTAGGCAACTATAAGTCTAATACATCGGAAGTTCCATTCTATCAGAAGGAACGGACAAGAAAACTTTTCTCAATTGCATTAATTAACAAAGAGGGAGTACTTTGTCTCAAAACTTTACCGTAAATTAATTATAAGCGCAAAATATATACTAACTTTAATTTATGTAACTTCACCTATTTTCAGTGAAATGCTCTCCTGCTGATGGTATGGGTCTAATTTTTTCTCCCCACTCATGGGATGTGGGCATCGTTGGCTAGGCTAGCATCCCTTATTGCCCTGGAGAAGGTGGGGAGCTGGTTTCTTGAAACACAGCAGTCCTTGAGGTGCAGGTACATCCACAGTGCTCTTTGGAAGGAAGTTCCAGGATTTTGACCCAATGACAATGAAGGAACAATAGTCATGTTCCAAGTCAGGATGTTCTTTGGCTTACAGGAGAAATTGCAGCTGATAGTGTTTCATGCATCTGCTGCCCTTATCCTTCTACTGATAGACGTTACTTGTTTGAAAGACGCTGTGCAAAATGTTGAATGACATATTGAACAAGGTCCTGACATCCCACTCGGACAGATGCAAGAGATCCTATGACACTATTCTGAAGAAACAACATATCTATTCCTCAAGCAGCAGAACTGAAAAAGATCTCTTGGTCATTATCCTACTGCTGGTTATAGGAGTTTGCTGTGGACAAATATCCAACAACACTTTTTAAAAGTAGTTTAATAGCTATACTTACCACTAATTTACACCCACAGCACTGCTTTAAAACTTGACAGTAACATTTTAAGGGGTTTGATTATGGAGCATAGATTAAAAATATTTATGGTTTGTTTTAAAAGTCACAAAAACACAATAATATCTAAACTGGTTTCATCTGAATCTGAAGAACAGAAGTGGTTTAAAAGGATTGCTTCTCTATACTGAAAGTTTTCATGGTGTGCAGAAATCTACAGCTTTATATTGTTTACCTAAAATCTTTCATTGTACACTGCTATTATGTGCACCAAATATAGTTGGGTAATTTGAAAAGCTTAAAACTTGCACACTCCCATCCAAGACAGTTCCTCATGACTTTCAAAGTGAAAGTCAGCGCTTGAAAGTCAAGAGAAAGGAAAGATAAATCTGCTCCAGGAGGTGGATACGGGAAAGAAATGACAATAAAGTGCTGTTATTTCCAGCTAGCCTATCAGAGCCAAACATGGGCATTTTTCTTAAAAATAAAGATTGGCACCATAATTCAAAGGAAATTCAAAATTTTGCTGTTTTTTAAACAGATCCCATTTTTACATTGCGCAATTGGTTTTGTTCATTGTGCAAGTGATTGAATACTGTAATTGAGAATTAATTTGTTTTTATTAGCATTTTTATCTAACAACAGTTTTGTATACAAGCAAGCTGAAACAACCTAACTACTGTTACAATGAAAAGACAACATATAGATGGTGACAAAACTGAGCAGAGTTTTATCATCATATCATATCATAGAATCCCTACAGTGTGGAAACACGTCCTTCGGCCCAACAAGTCCACACCGGCCCTCAGAGCATCCCACCCAGACCCATCCCCCTATAACCCACCTAATCTGCACATTCCTGAACGTTATGGGCAATTTAGCATGGCCAATCCACCTAGCCTGCACATCTTTGAACAGTGTGAGGTAACCGGAACACCCGGCGGAAACGCACACAGACACGGGGAGAACGTGCAAACTCCACACAGACAGTCGCCCAAGGCTGGAATCAAACCCAGGTCCCTGGAGCCGTGAGACAGCAGTGCTAACCACTGAGCCACCATGCTGCCCTACTTTAAATTTACTCCTTTAAACTTACCCCCTTTTACCTTAAACCTATGCTCCCTAGTAATTAACATCTCTTCCCTGGAGAAAGACTCCAAATATCCATTCTATTCATGCCTATCATAATTTTATCAGGTCACCCCTCAACTTTCGACGTTCAAGTGAAAACAAACCAAGTTTGTCCACTGTCTCCTCATAGCTAATAACCTCCAAACTAGACAACATCCTGGTAAATTGTTTCTGTACCTTGTCCTACATCTTCACATCCTTTTGGTAGTGTGGCTACCAGAACTGTACATAATATTCTAAACGTGGCCTAACTAAAATTCTATACAGCTGCAACATGACTTGCCAATTTTTATACACAGTGCCCCAACCAATAAAGGCAAGCATGCCAAATGCCTTCTTGACCACCTTATCCACTTGTGATACCACTTTCAGGGAGCTGTGGATTTGTACGCCAAGATCCCTCTGTATGGTAATCTTCCTATTCAACTTTCTGAAATACCTATATCAAGGGCAGCTCCTTTCTATGTCGATGATGTCACTTCTATCCAACTCAATTCATCAACATTCTTGTAATTGTGAAATTTAAAACAATTAGTGTTCATCAAGAAAATGAATTTTCTACAACTGCACTTTCTATTACATGTATAAACTGAAAATCTATCATAAATGGAACATGTGCAAAGCCTGAGGGTGTGCCTGTGAAGAAAGTAATTTTAATCCTTGAAATAATCAATAATTCACGAGAGGATGGTACACTGCATAGGTCTGTGGTTTGACCACATGTAAACTTACTGTGTAAATCCCCTTAAAATGCAACAATGATAACATCCAGTTGTTTAATTCCTGGGAACAGTACAGATGTCATTTAGTAGTTTTCTGGACTAGTTCTAAGTTTCCGAGTCAAAGCATGGGGGCTATTCTGTCAAGCAGTTTTTTTTAAGTGATGTCTGGCTGACTTGCATATTTTTAATTTTATTCTATCTTGGGGTATTTTAAAGAAAATAGTGGATAAGCTCCAATGATCTTGCAACGAGTAACGTCCATTGAACCTAATCACCGGGAGGCCTTCATGTTAGCGCTTCTACACGCCAACCAGGTACACATTTTATTCATTGTACGCACCACCAAGATCTGTTGTATTCCTAGCAAACTAAACGGAAACCTCGGAAGCACCGCATTTAACAAATACAACACAAAGTCACATCAATTCAACACAAACATTGGCTTTTCAAGGAAAACGTCCATGAGTACGTTTATCAATCTCGTGACAGGACACAGCTAAATCGACAAAATGTAATTCTTAAATGCTCCAGTAAGATTACATGTATTCGGTATACGGCCCCATTTAAGTTTTCATTTTAAAAGCGTATGAAGGGATAACCACTTGTTACTCCCTCATATTTTTCCACAGGCACCGAGGCTTTAAGAGAGAAAAAACACATGTACAGGGAGCCACACGAGATCACGTTAGAACCGCGCAGAACGTCAGTTTTTGTCATCCTGACATAGAAGGTGGGTGGAGATTACAAAAAAAAAAGGGGACAGGACAAAATTAAGATAAAACAGACTGTACGATTAACCAATTTGGTAATTTCATGCTTTGCGAAATATTCGGTCCTAATTGATCACATTTCGTTCTACACCATACGTTTAAACCATCATTAAAAAAAAAATTTCATAAAATGAATCCAGCGCAGGACACACAGACATTACAATAGGCTCAGTCAATAATATAGTGTGGAGCTGGAGCAACACAGCAGCTTCGGAGGAGCAGGAAAGTCGACATTTCAGGTCGGGTTACAACAGGCTCAACAATTAGCACTGCTACTCAACTCCACTGAAAACTGCTAGCAGTCTCAAATTTTAAGGGACAAATGAATAGCGTGTCACCTAAGGAGTGAGAGAGTTGGGTTTTGATGCAAAAGCTGGAAACCACCTGAATAAAAGCGTGCACATTCACGCAGAGAGCTTATACAAGTGACCTGGTTCTGGGGAGCGGAAAGAGGACGTTTCCTCAGCAAGAGAACTTTAGAGACAGGCAAGGGAGGTGAATGATGGCCGCTCCCCTTTCTCTCCTCCCCAACCCAACACCTCCACCTCACTGCCCTGACACCCGCCCAGCCGCCGACATGATGTACCTCCGCCATGTTATGCTCCTTGTCCCCGACGCCCAGTCTCGCTGTCCCGGGGAAGATTCCCAGGCCAGAGCCGGAGCCTCTCACCGAGCTCCGGACAGTTCCCACCCCCCGTTCACTTCTCACTTTAAAACAGAGGTCGCGCACACAATAATCAAACTCACCGCAGTCTTTTTCCCTCCCGCTTTCACAGTCTTGGGGTCTGCCTCCTCTTTTTTTTCCCCCTTTCCGATTGTTTTCTTCGGCCCGTCGAGATTTTATGTCGAGCGGTGGTAGGTTTTCTTTTCCCCCCCTCCAGTACGGGGTTTAAGGTGGAGGGAGGCGGGGGTGGTGTGTGGTAAGATTATGGTGGAACAGCAAGGCCGCGGCCTAGGTGCGGCCTTCACCTCCGGCCTAACAGCCTCGGCGTTCAGGCGGCGCGCCCTCGGGATTCCGCCTCCTCCCTTCCCCCTCCCTTTTTTTTCTCTCTCTCTCTCTCTGGGTTGGTGGATATTTGGGGCGGGAGGCCTAGCCCCCCTCCTTCTCCTTCTCCTCCTCCTCCTCCTCCCGCTCGCTTTGTGCGGTTGCAGTCGCCACCGCCACCCCGCTGTACTCTTCCCCCTTCGCTGGCTGTGGCTCCGGCCCCGCCAATTAGGCTTCGGGCGGGCGGCGGCGGCTGCGGGCTGAGTGCGCGCCGGCTTCTCGAGCTTACGTCAGAGGGAGGCGAAGCGAGGCAGGCCGGAGGGCAGCGGGGGCCGGGAGTAAGAGCGAGCCGAGCAAATAGACCCGCTGACTGTTTGGAGTAAAATAATAACGTCGAGGGAGAGAGAGAAAAGAAAAGAGCAGCGTTACCAACTCTCACTGAACAGTGCCCAAACTGTGAGCCTTTAGTTTAACACAACTTGGGGGGCGGGTTAAACGCTGCAGGCCCGTCGTCCTGTCTCCCCGTTGACCATTCCTTTCGCCTCTTATTTCTGTTTTCTTTTTATTTTGATTGCGATTCCTGTCGCATTAATAACAGGTCCGTTTAAGATTAAATGGGCTCATCCTCGCAAATGGTGAGGAAAATGGTCAACTTTGTGTCTCTTCTTTTCCCCATCCCCACAGCCCTTAACAGCCCCAGAATATTATTGACATGACCGAATAGTAGTAACTCTAGGCCAGAACCCCCTCAATTATTATCAACACATAAACTGCAATATCACCACCCTGCGAGAAGGATTCTAGAAATAAGACAAGAAACAGCATTAGTCTTATCAGCACAATGGCTGTTGCTAAAACTGCAGACCTGAGACTCCACTAATGGTGCGGTTAAAAGAAAATGAAAGAAACTTTCAGCTTGTTGTAAAATTTGCTTACTTTAAGTTTACTTGCAACCACAAATGAACGAAAGTAACTGACATTAAAAAAAAATTAAGATTTTTTTAAAGCTTGGTATGAGCAATTCTGTCATTAGGTAGTTTGTCACAAAATTTAAATTTTGATATACATTTGTTATATAATTTTGACTGTTTTCTGATGACAGGTACCCAATAGGGAGGAAGGGGGATTCTGTAGTGTAGGAAGTATGGGTTAAACCCCTCTATTCAACTTAAAACATTGAAGATTTTAACATGGTCTGTGGAATAAAACTGGCAGCATCAAATTGGTCACTTATTATACACAGCACTTGATATTCAGTTTCATTGCTGAACTGAATGTCAGGTAGTACACTAGAGGTCTGTCCAATACTGGCTGATCAATACCACCATCCAGTTGAAATTGCGCTCCTGTTTTATTCGAATATAGGCAGGTAGTTCTCTCGGAATATAATCCCAGTTTTTTTAAAAGTCTGGTCCAAGATTACTGTTAGGTCTGAATTTTTTTGAACAATTGAGTAGTTTTTTGAAATAATTCTCTCTAGAAATTTCATAATGAGCTGTTGAACTGGTAAACGGAGAAAAGAGAACCCATATGTTATGGTATGATATCAATAACCCAATTTAGAACAGTAGTTAGATTTTCTACTGCATTAAGAAGTGGTTAAACATAATTACTGGGGAATAAACTCATTGGTTCTCGTGTTATCCCTTGGAAATATATTGCCATTCTGCCAGTGCTGCTGGGTCAAAATCCTGGAATTCCTTCCCTAACAGCACTGTGGGTGTATCTACACCAGATGGACAGGCAGCAGTCATTCAAGAAGAGTTCACCACCTTCTCAAGGCAAACCTGGATGGCCAATAAATGCTGGTCCAACGAGCAAATCCTACATCCCCTGAATGAATTTAAAAAAAGCTTGCGGTTGCAGCTTTGACATGGTTTTGTATCTTACCATTCTGCATTATAATAAAGCTGTCAAAAAGGAGCAACCTAGAAGTAGCACTGAAATGATGCAAAGAGAGTATTCTATTAATTATATGAGCAGGCTGTATGTTTTATTTCAACATTGAGATACTTAAGCATTGACTACGTCTTAAAGAGCTAAGGCATACCTATGAGAATAGTCTGAAACACAAAAGTTAAAATATTTAGAATAATCATGAAAGATTGGTAATTCCTGAAATCCTATAGCCTTTGACCTACTAATTGAAGAATTTTCATTGTCCCATCCTCCAATGTTTCTGATTGGTTATTACTAATAATTTATAATCCCAGTGCAAACAATATTTGTCTTGTAAAACTCACCAAAAGACATATGGCTTGAAATGCTCTGTCAGATGAATGCAGCAATAGATTCCATGTATTCTTTGAATTTAGATTAGTGAGAGGTGTTCTATAAAAATACTTTTATGAATAAGGCATATTTTCAAAATTTAAAAAAAAATTCTCAATGAAACATATTCTTTCAAAGCCTGACAGAGTATATACTGAGAAACTGCTTCCCCTGGTTGGAGAGTCTGGAACTTGGATATTTACGACTGAGCTGAGGAGAAATTTCTTCACTGGCAGGGTTCTGATTTTCTTTGCAATTCTCCACCCTAGTAGTCTATGAATTCTCAGTCATTGTGTATATTCAAGATGAAACTTAAAGATTTTTGGACATTAGAAGAATTCAAGGGATATGGGCATAGGCCAAGGAAGTGTAGTTTTTGAAAATTTATTTATTCACAGGATGTGAGTGCACCTGGCTAAGCTAGATTTCATTGCCCATCCCTAATTCTATTTAGAGATAGTAGGAACTGCAGATGCTGGAGAATCTGAGATAACAAGGTGTAGAGCTGGATGAACACAGCAGGGCAAGCAGCATCAGAGGAGCAGGAAAGCTGACGTTTTGGGCCTGGACCCTTCTTCATTTCTGCTTTCCTGCTCCTCTGATGCTACTTGGCCTGCTGTGTTCATCCAGCTCTACACCTTGTTATCCCTAATTGTACTTAAGCTGTTTTCTTGAACTGCTGCAGTCCATTTAATGAAAAGCACCCATAGGACTGATAATAAGGGATTTCCAGGATTCTGGCCCCTTGGCAGTGAGAGAAAAGTGATCTAGTTCCAAATCAAGGTGATGTGTGACTTGCAGGGGAACTTTCAAAATAAAACGCAATTAGTCAGTTCTGAAGAAGAGTTCACACAATTTCTAACTCATGACCTTGACCCTTGCAAGAAAGGTCCTTCAAGATTTCTGTGGAGGAGAATACAGAGGCCACAAAGGAAGCATTGGCAAGGCTGCCTCCTGTATCCCTTATCTGTTCAGATACTGACACCTCATTGGGATAATGAAGATCTGTAGCTTGGGTTGCGGTTGGATTGGTTGGTTCGCCGAGCTGACTGGTTATCACGCAAACGTTTCGTCTCCCTTCTAGGTGACATCGTCAGTGCTGTGTAGCCTCCGTTGAAGCGCTGTCATTCCGTCCCACTCTGAATTTATATGGTCCGGTCTGTTATGGTGGGCAGTCTTGTTTCTGGTTTTGTAGATGTGGTCTATTTCAACATGTTTGTTAATTCCATCGGTGGTTGAAAACCAGGCATCCAGGAACTAACTTTGTCCAGGTCAAATTGTTGTCCTTCTATGTTGGAGTGTATTGAAACGAGGGAGAGTTGGTCGTGTCGTTTTGCTGTGAGTTTGTGCTCATGTATCCTGGTGGCGAGTTTCCTGCCTATCTGTCCTATGTAGTGTTTCTCGCAGTTGCTGCATGGTATTTTATATTATCACATTTGTCCTGTTCATTGTGAGTATGGGGTCTTTCGTCTTTGAGAGTAACTGGTGAAGTGTGGCCGTTGGTTTGTGTGCTATCCTTATTCGAAGAGGTTGTAGGAGTCTTGTAGTCAGTTCTGATGTGTTTCTAACATAGGGTAGGGTGGCCAGTGTGTTGGGATGTACAGTGTCTTATTGGTGTTGTTTGTTTGCCAGGCATTGGGCTGACGAAGACGTTAGGATAACCATTGTTTGCAAAGACTCTGTATAGGTGATCCTTTTCGTTTTTGCGCAGCTCTGGGGTATTGCAGTGAGTTATCGACAAGCGAGGCTAAGACAAGTACCGAGAATTCCTGGAAGCCTGGTTTTCAACTAACTGTGCAATTAACAAACATGTTGAATTAGACCCCATCTACATACCACTACGGTACAAAACCGGAAACAAGACTGCCCACCATGACAGACCGGACCATATAAATTCAGAGCGGGTCGGAACGACAGTGCTTCAATGGAGGCTACACAGCACTGACGACGTCACTTAGAAGGGAGACGAAATGTTTGCATGAAAACCAGTCAGCTCAGCGAACCAACCAACAACTCCAATTTCATTGGGATTTCAACTATATTAGAATCAGAAGCACAAGCTGGTGAGCACTTCCCTGCCACAATTCCATTCTGGCTGAGGAAGAAATGCCTTGGGTTGCTGGCACTCGGAGTACTGCTTTGGACCCTATAACAGACACCTACTCAGCCCTAGGCAGGAGGGGACCATGTGAGCAATTAGAGACTTTGTCCACATGCACAGGAAGGAACAGGAGCAGCAAGCAGGTATGTAGGAGGTAATAGCCCTCATTACCGAGAGGCTACATGACTGCAGCGATGTTGGGAATCCAGCGGCTACAAGCATGAGATTGGCTGACTGCCTCCACAGAATTAGTGTGCAAATGTACATTCCTTAAGCCAGCTATCTGTGGCCATTATGATATTTTAATTATTCATTTACTAGGATCACAGATGAAAATTGGCCTTTAGGAGGACATACCATATGGAAATCTCCATCCATAGCATTGTGCCTTAGCCAAATTTGGCTGTGTTCTGGATACCAAAGCTAAGAGTCGAAGGAAAAATAAAAGATGTGATTAAAATCCAAGCAAACCACAAACCTATATCTTGACTGTATTGCTCTGAACATTATGGTCTACATACTGATAAATGAGTAAGATCTTCAAGGTCACATACATAAAACTAGTAATCTCACAAACCAAACAGCAAGCTGGAATGAAGTGTGGTTCTGATTCCACACTGCTGGACAGCTAAGTTGTAGAAATAAATCTCAGTTAATTTTCAATTTATTACTGCAATTTTTTTGAAGCAAATTGAGTGACAACATATAAGGTTATGTGGAGAGCAGAGGTATCAGCTAAAGCAAGTAATAAAACTCTTGTTTAGATGGCAGATGCACAATACTGTAAGTGAAAGAATACTGCATGAGATCTAGTGGGTCTATTTCTTTGTGAATGTGAACATTTTATCTTCCTCTCTATTGAGCAACTTTCAAAATGAGAAGAAATGTTTCAAATTTACCATGCCAATCTGCCTTAAATTCTAAACTTGCAATGCCTACTTGTCTAGTTGCCTCATTTGAAAGATTCACTCATCGTGGTGGGGATTAACCAGTTAACTAACACAAGGAATGTAAAAGCTTTAGAAAGGAAGCAACAGTTGATACAGCATAAGAAGAGGGTGCTGATTGATTGCACAATGATAGATACATAAGATTTGATTTTTAAAAAAGTTAATGATTTGTTTAGAACTAAGGGTATATTTCTTTTGCCACACTGTACTTTCCATATTTTCAAGAAGAAAATGTGCTTTTGTTTTGTCTAATTTGAAAAGACCATAGACATAGGAGCTGAGGTAGGTCATTTTGCCCATCGAGGAGACCATTTGGCTCATTCGAGATAATGGCTGATCTGATAACTATCAATTCCACTTTACTGCCTTTCCCTCATACCCCTTGATTCCCTTACTGATTAAAAATCAGTCTGTCTCAGCATGAATATTCTTAACCATCCAGCCTCAATAGCTCTCAGCAGCAAAGAATTCCTCAGATTCACACCCTTAGAGAAAAAAATTCATCCTCATCTTTGTACTAAATGGTTGCCCCCTTTGAGATTATGCTGACTAGTC